CTCCATTCTCTCAAAAGGTCACCAAGGTATATTGTAAACTGTCGGAAAAGCTTGCCGGATGTGGTGTATCAGTTATCTCTTCCCAGTTGTGCCGCTTGCCTCTAGATCTTGATTTGAACAAGTGCGATAATATAACTATTTCTTGATACACACGTACACTGAACAGAAAGAGAGAAGAGAAATTGGAGTAGGAGCTACCAAGAGTTGATTCAGTAAACAGCAGCCATGTCTATTATATTTTGTTTGCGTTTTTTATTTTCTTGCATTTGTAGTGTGAATTGGAAGGTTTTACCATCTTGATTCACTTCAAATGGCCTCTCTACTGTTTCAAGCTAACAGCAGTGTGGCTGTGTGGGCCACAACCGCGGCTCACTGGTATCACAAGAGGGACGCCACGTAGGCCAACTCACTGTCCTAAACTTCCCCCATGGTTACCAAGGGCCGGGTGCTGTCAGTCCAAATTTACTCCATTAGTACCAAATCAAGTCCCAGCCTACTTTTGAAGTAAGAAATTGTAAGAGACCTATGGCTGGTGCTAAACATGAAGGAAACAACAAATAATTACCTCCCCAACACTTCCATCCTCAAAGTCAGCGTTGAAGGATTCGGATATGCTGTCAAACATCATCTCCTCCAAGTCATCATAATAATATGGACCTGGAAAATAAACCTAAAGAATATTACATGCCTGCCCAGACATGAAAAATGAGCGACGAGGATAAAATCAAACATAGTAGAAACAAGTCAGCCATGCCAAAATCACATTTTGGAACAATTGTATACCAGTCGATGAAAAAAAATAGAGTACGCCGTAACTTCCTAAAATGAACAGTGGGTGCAAGAGATGTTGGGATTTTTAGTAACTGGAATCCACTGTTAATCTCAACTAAACATAAGCGTACGAATAAATAGAATGCTCTGCATGGATATGTAACTGAGAACTGTATAATTAACTGGTGAACACAGAGTACAGAGGCTCAAAGCTGAAATGCGCATCATTACAAAAGGTCACGCTTTGGACAATTCCCCTCTTGGTTAAACCAAGCTCCAATATATCAAACCCAAAGAAAATGGTTTCACCGATCATAGTATGGACATGTCAGGTTCTGAAAGCCGGTGAAAGCTCTGAACCGAAGCTGTCACAGAGCCCAGGAACGCAAATCCTCTCATCGAGAAAAAAAATGGACTTGTACCTCGACGGCGATGGCGACGGCGACCTAGGCGTGGCTCTAATAAATCCTCTCTGGGAGATTGGAGCAATTCGAGGACCTAAGACGCAATCAAAGGAGGGTGCTGGAGGGGACGGGTGAGCGGGCACCTTTGGAGTTGGTGAAGAAGGAGAGGACGTCGGCGGCGAGCCGGTCGGCCTTGGCGCGGGAGTCGCGGCCGCCCCACCCGTTCTCCACCGCCATCTGCAGCGCCGTCCACCGCCCGAACACAAGCCCGATGCCCTCCTGGAGCGCCGCGGCCGCCTGCGGCGAGAGCCCCCCGCCGCCGCTGGTTGACGCCGACATGCTGCGGAAGTTCTACGAAGACGGCTAGGGGTGCTCGCGTTGGACGGGAGCGAGATGCGGAGGACGACGAGGGAAGGATCCTCCTCCGGCGTCCCTTCCTGGTGCGTTTCCCGGCGGCGCGGAGGCGTTGGAGCTCGGGTGCCACGGCTGGTGGAGGCGAGAGACTGGAAACCTGGTAGGGGGGCGAGATTAGGGTTTGGTCGGAGTTATAGGCCGGGATTGTTCTTGGGCTGGGCCTCACTAAGCGAAAATTAGCAGATGGGCACTTTCCAGAAAACATTTTTCTGCAACACAAAACAAGATGATTTATTTTCACCTCAAAAAAAACAAGATGATTTTTGGGTACACACACAGAAATGTGTATATTTTTTATCTGCAAAATTTCATATCATTCTACTTTCACATGTATGTATTTTCAAATGGGCTTCTCTTTTTGTTATTGGGCCAGAAATTTGTTATTTTTTTTACAGCTTACAAATTACATTTTGTCAACATGAAATTTTATGGATTCATAGTGAATAAGTACAATTTTCTGCTGAATTATTTTTGAATTTTTTAAATATGTTTATTGATTTTTTTTCAAAAAAAGGGCACCAAGGTGCCCGAGCACTACAACTTCGCACTCCTCACTAGGGGCCTAATTGGGTTGTAGGATTTGAATACTAAGGATTTTTTTTTTCCTATGAAAGCCATTTGGATCGTAGGAATTTATTCAAAGGAGTTTTGTAGGATTGAAATTCTCCGACCTCCTTTGGCTTGTACGAATTCTACAGGATGAGGTTTTCAAAGGAAAAATTCCTTTGGAGCATTTTGGTTTGTAGGAATGAATTCTTATTCCTATGTAGTATAGGAACCACCCATTCACATTTAAAAGGGAAAAAATATTAGCCTGGACTAAATGGAAAAAAAATATTATTCTCTGCATCAAATGGATTCTCTTTTTATATAAAAATTATGTTACATGTCATCTCATTTCATATAATTTTTCTGTTTCTATGATGTCCCTATCCTATGAACCAAATGAGGCCTTACTAATTTTATCTACGTTGGTCATTTCGTTCGTAAGATTGTTCCATTAAATATTTCTTTCTTAAGGGATCCTTTGTACTATGTTCCATAACATCAACTCAAACCTCGAGAAAGAATCCTTTGTTTTTCCCGTAATGCAATAAAACAAACAAAAATCCTATAGGGTTTAAGTGGGCATGACATTGTGGACGTATGTTTTTCTAGTTCCTGCATTTTTAAAATCCCACAAATCAAACCAAATAATCCCCAAGGGACTATTTTCTTTAAATCTTTTTCCTGGAAATTTTCAAGAATTGGAATCCTTAGAAATTTTTCCCTACACCGGTCGTTTGATTTATATAATTGAATCCTATAGGACTTTCTTGAGTGATAAGCAAGGTAAAAAATAAGAGCAAAACCACAACTAGAAATATTATTAAGATATTGATCACTGGTCCGATGCCTAAAGAATCTAGAGAAACAAAGAAAGCATGATTTTCTTGTACTATGATCTCCTTTGGTGCGGGGGATACTAAAAACACACGAATAGAAAAAACACATGAAAAAGATATAAATGCATGCGCAAAACAGATGGTTGCTAAACATAGGAATTATATCCACTTTGTTGTTTGGTTTACAATAATTTGAAAAACACAAGAATTATAATAAACATGGTAAAACAAAGTCAAAACCACATGTACATTTATAATGTTATCATGCCACCATGGATCTTAGAATAGTTATTCGTGCGTATAAAAATGAAAAAGTAGTCCAAATGCATGTTAGAAACTCCTATTTTTTTCATCTGAAATTGAGTTCAAATTAAAATCTCCTTCATTTCTTTTAATCAAATTTGTTAATAGTGCCATCGTTGGAAAAAAAATCCTATTCCCACTTCTTTCATTCACTTTTCATTTGAAAGAAAAGAGCCCTTCAGTCCGGGCTCCTTTGGTTAGTAGAATTCTCAATATGTAGCAATAGGATAAAAATGCATGTGCAAAATAAAATCATGGAAAATAGGGTAATATTCAACTTGGGAGTCTGGTTCCCATGATTGCAAAGAACACAAAAATACTAATAATCGTGGTCAAATAAGGGTAAAATCATATAAAAATGTACAATTTAAATGTTATTATGCCACTAAGGATATTAGTTTGGTTCTTAGTGCATAGGAAGTTTAAAAAGAAGTCCGAGTGGGTGTTAGAATTCCCGTGTTATTCCTATGAAATAGGGATAAAAGGAATTTCTCCATTTTTCATTTGGCCCATTCCTTTTGACCAAAAGCATGATAGCCAACACTCGAGGCATCATTTTTCTAGAAACTATATAATTATATATTTGTATTTGTAGTACCATCATTGATTTTTTCCCTTCATATTCTTATATATTTTCTCCCACTTTTCCTTTGAACCAAATGAGTCCTCCATAGGAACTTGAACGTCGACTCAAACCTCTTAAAAAAGTTTTTTTTGAGAAGCAACCAAACAAATAAAAAATGCGGGACTCATATGGCCATAACATTGTAGTCCCATATTTTTACTATTAATATTTTTTAGGGACCTACACATCAAAAGATATTGATGTGGAATAGAACACAATTATTTCATAGGGTTTCTCATTTCCTATCGCGACTGCAACTATTCGGGCAATCATACCCTGTAACGCCCCAAGACCGGAGCTGCAGATGCCTTCCAGGGTTTCCGGGTTTCGTCGTGTGATTTGTTTGGTTCATTGCATTCATCATTGCATCCGGTGCATTGCATCATGTCATCATGCCATCATGTCATTTAATTTTCTTAACTCAACTAAACAAATGGCATGGATCTTTGATCCATTTAAATCGAGGGAATTCACATGGTGATTCTCTTTACAACTTATCCTCTCGATATTTAGAGAGCTATAGTAAATATTTCAATTATGTGGAATTACCATCACACACTTGCAAAAAATTTCCCCATGCCTTCGTCCCATTTTTTCTCTTCTCTATTAATGTCCATTCTTTTCCTATAAATTCTAGACTGTGCCAGGATCACCTCCTCCAAATTTCAGATCCTTTGAACTTGTTTTGGTTGGATTCAAAAATAGCTCAAGTTTGAATCTAATTCAAACTTGAATTATTTTTCTATCTCTAAAATATTGCCAAACCATGTTATTCTATTTAGGCAAAGTTTCGGCGCTCTAAGAATATTTTATTTCCTGAAATATTCTTTCCCTAACCCTCTCTTTATTTTTTTTCTTCTCTCTAGTTCTTTTTTTCTGTTAAAGCAAATTAGAGAGGAGTAGGAGAGAGTAAACCAGCCCAGGCCGGCCTCCCTGGGTCTCCCTAAGCCAAACTCTAGGTCGGCCCTTTAGGCTCAGCCAGCCCACCACCAAACCAACCTAAAGCAAAGGCCCAGCCGCACCCACCTAAACCCTAGCCCGACTCCCTTCTCCATCTCGTTTTTCCCCTCGCGCCGCCAGGAGAGACCCCGCGCTCGATCCCATCTTCCCCCTCGCTTAGCTCTGCTCGATCTCCCTGTCCTTTTCGTTTTTCCCCGCGCCGCCACTCACTCACATGCACGCATCGCTAGGGAGTGCAGACCCCCTCGCTCGTCCTCCTCCAGACCTCTCGCCCTCCCCTCCTGCCTGTGCTCTGTCTCCAGGCCACCAGGAGCTCGAGACGCCGCCGCCCCTCACCGGATCCTGCAGACCCCGCGCCGTCCTCTCCTCCGCTCCTTCTTCGTCCTCCCATGCGAGCTGCCGCAGAGCCGCATCTCCGCTGCGCCAACGCCACGGCGTCGCGGCCGAGTCCTCCCCGCGCCTTCACCCGAGGGGCCAACTCCAACGGCCCCGGCACCCGCATCATGCCGCCGTCAGGTCTCAAGTACCCCGCAGCAGCGTCCGACCCCGCGCTCGTCTCCTCGCCAGTAACCAGGCGCCACCAGCTACTCCGGCATGCCTCTGCTCCCTTCTCCTCGTTGTGGTTCCCGACCAGCGCCAGCCTCCTTCCTCCTGCCCGTGCCTTTCCTTTCGCCCCTGCCTTTGTCGTGCGAGAACGTGAGGAAGACGACCGGCGCCAAGTCCTGCTCGAGCACCTGCCTGCGTTGCTGCGTCGGTGCACCGCGTCGCCGCTCGTTGCCTGCCAAGAACGCCTCCACCGGAGACCGCCAAGACAGTCCAGGATTCGCCAAGTACCACGCCGTCGGTGTCCCTCCAAGTGTGATGTTGGAACATGCATGACTACGCGGATTCGCCAAGTACCACGACGCTCGAAGACCTCGGATTCACCAAGTTCCCACGACGACGAGTGTGACCCTTCGGATGCGCCAAGTTCGTCTACACGAAAATGCCAAGTACCACTCATGTCGGCAAGAACCGCAAGTCGGACCCCGAACGATCGACGTCCCGTGGACCGTGTACAACTACCGTCACCCCGAAGACGTTGGGATCATCAAGTACCTCTCCGAACGAACATGAACGACTACCGTCGCAAGAACGGGACCGGAAAGTCCGAAGACCCCAAGTACCACGACATCGATGACATGAACGTCTACGGAAACTTGTGCAACGATAAACATGTACCACTACCGCCGTCGCGAGAACGCCTACTTCCCTCTACGAACGAGAACCATCCCCTTTGCACGCTTCGAAGGTATAACCATCGAGACGACGCCCGTGAATGAACGCATGTGTGTTGTATGTTATGCTCGTGTTTGCATCGTGTCCGAGTTGTCTCTTGCTCGGTCCTCCTCGTTTGCCGCTAACCCGTGGGAACTCGGTAACCGGGAGCACCCCACCGTTCTTTGCATGACACGCTCCCGTCACACTTGTTCTTTTCCACCGGCATCTCAATCGAGTTTCCGGAACCGGAACATTGTCATGGTACCGTTTCCGTTATCATCGCCGTGGCATCCTTTCTTTCCGCCATGATGACATATGCTCCATATAATGCTCTTATCAACATTTTCTTTAAAACTTGCATAAAACTTGCCCATGTCATCCGCACCATAATA